ACTTTGTCATTTGGTCACGTGAGACCATGTTCATATGGTCACATGGTACCATGTGAATATGGTCACATGTTTTAATCTGATTGTATACTTTCTTTTTCGTTCAGGACATGACCTCGAAGAAGATGCTGAAGAAGATGACAGTGACTATGATGGGGATGAGGCAGCTCAAGATGATGCTGGCAGTGAGGATGAGAATACAAAAGAAGAAGATGTTGGCACTGAGGTAGAGAATACAGAAGAAGAACATGACGCTGATGGTGATGGGAGTGAAAGCGATGGCGATGAGGATAAGGTAGGCGAAGAAGCTGAGGAAGAGGATGAGACAGCCGCAAAATCTTCTGACAAAGGATTTGTCCCCCTATTGAAGATGAAGTCACTCAACCTCCAGCAGAAATTCCTAAAACTGTTGTAGCTGGCTCCTCTGATGCAGAGTTGAGGAAAAGAAGCAAAAGAAAACTTGCTGATGGGCCATCCAAAAGAAACCCTTATGTAGAACCAATATCAACTGGTCCACCGCCCAAAAGAACTCGGTCTCAGGCTGCAGGAGGTCGAGGGAGAGGCAAAGCCAGAGCCAGAGGCAGAGGCAGGGGCAGGGTGTAGAGGCAGAGGGCGAAGCAATAGAAGCCAGAAAGATGTTGGTGAGGAAGACGAGGTTGAGGAAGAATCTTCTGACGAAGGCGTTGCTGAGGAAGACGCTGAGATTGCAGAAAAGGAATTTGTTTGGAAACCAGAGCGTCTCAACCCGAGTGGAAATATTGGAGGGAATCAAATTTGCCTTATTAAAAAAAATACTACTCTCATTTGCATGGGTCCCATCAAAATCAAGGGTTAAATTGTCAACTGCAACTTTTTTGCATAGCTGGATGACACTGGACCCCATCCAAAACAATGCATGCCAAACCTGGGTCCCACAAATTTTCGGTCACATTGGGTCACAGTTGGTCACATTGGGTCACAAGGGTCGATTTTATGGATTCTTTCAAATGAATCATTACGAATGCTTTCACATGTTCCATATTAACTCTTTTGTACCGTATTGAAGAGAAAAAACAGAATTATTCAAATTATGGGTGCAAAAGTAGTGTTCATACATGTGTCCCATAAGTGTTCATAGTGTTTTATGAATGATTTTGACAATATTGGTGCTTTTGTATTACAAACACCTTAACATATTTTGTAAATTTATGATTAACACTATATTTGTGTTCTTTATACCTTGTCACAACACAACCAAGTTTAAAAAGCATGTTTACACCTACATTTACTTTTCTCACTTGGTCACAGGTCACATCCGGTCACAATGGTCCCATAGTACAAAATTGGACAATGGTCACATGCTGGTCACAATGGGTCACAAACAGTGGTCATATGAGATAACTTATTTATTGTATTTTAAGATGTAGAATGAGACCAAATTAAATAAATTAAAATACAACAAGAAAGCAAAGGACATGGAATACAATACACAATTATTATACAAATGATCTCTTTATTCATACATGGTCAAGTGTTCTCTCACACATTGCTGATATTGATACTTCTTTGTGACATGCATCCTTTTTCAGGCTTCACCAGGACCCGGAAAGCGATTTTGTTTGGGTCTCCCACTTTTCCGTTTGTCTTCCACTATAAGAGGCAAAACCACGCGGTTTGCAATATTTGGATCATCGATACTCCATTCACAACAATCGGGGATCGGATACACATTTGCTTCATAAGCATGACGCCATGACTCGCGCAAATAGTATGGAGAACACAAGTCTGGTATCTTATTTGCTTTCACAACCTTATGAGGTGCTGCGATTGCGTGACTACATGGGATCTTATCAATATCACACTCTGTCACTATAACTTTTCTAAGTCCACTTGAATGTTCACTGACGGAAAGATTTATAATTTCTGTTACATTATTACTCCCAACTTTACTCTTAAAATTTGGGCTTAACAATAAACAATCGTCATAATCTTCCACACCTCGTTTTCCATTTCCTCCAACAACACTACCATCAGCAGGCATTATAGCTTCTTCTTCAACGTTATTTTCACCATCAATTTTCATACGTAACTCATCTATCTCCACATAAAGTATTCCTCGCATTCTATTTATTTTATCCAACAGATAAATATGAATGTGCTTGTCATTCCATACGTAAGGCGGCTTTCTGTTTTCCTTGACATTTGGCAAATAACTCAATCTAATCTCCGTTTTATTTTTCTCCACTTTCATCTCAGCACATAACTCTCGAACAAGTTCACTATAGGTTACCTCACAGGGGGGACAAAAGAATAACAATCTTTGAGTTTCCATAAACTTTCCTTCCCATTGATATTCTCCGTTTTTATTCACTCTCCACCTAACATCATACAGAAAGTATACAATTGTCGATCTCTCATCTTGCCCGTCCATCGTACCTGTAGAAAGGATAAATACAAAATGCAGATCAATTAAACTATTCTGGACTCTATGACTATGTGACCATATGAATATAATACCATGTGACCATGTGAATATAATACCATGTCACCATGTGGCCATTATTACTATTCCAACTATTCTATATCATGTTACCATATGAAATTGTGACCATGTGAATTTCTCATCATGTGACCATTATTACTAATCTCACTGTTATGAATCATGTGACCATGTGACCATGTTAGTATGGTACCATGTGACCATGTCAACATGGTACCATGTGACCATGTGAACATAGTACCATGTGACCATGTTAATATAGTACTATGTGACCATGTTAATATAGTACCATGTGACCATATAAACATAGTACCATGTGACCGTGTGAAGATAGTACCATGTCATCCTTGAATCCTATCCGAACTGTTATTCTAAACACACGGGTCTAATGTAACCATATCACTATGTGACCATGTGACTGTGTGGCCATGTCACAAACTTCTCTCTAATGTGACCCGACTTTTGTGTATAGTGATATTCTAAAAACAACATCTCAAACCCCAGATCCGACCCGGATCTATGACTATACTATAGTCCAAAGGATAAAAACTGCACAAACATCAGCAATTACAAGAAAAAAAAGGTGGAAGCAACATCACTGTTCAACCAAAAAATAACAACAAACATCAATGTGCATGAAAAACAATAAGGTTTTCGCAATTGCTTACCTATCTTCAACCTCTTGGCTAATTTCACACTGATTTTGCTGGAATTTTTAACGATTTTGGATTAAAAATCGCAACATTCAGAGGAGAGAGAGCTCAGCGACGAGGGAGAGAGAAGCAGGAGAGAGAAAGCGGAATGAGAGAGGAGAGAGACTTAATTTTTATTTTTATTTTGACATCTGGGTGACATTGTCATCACATATCAACGGGCACAATTTCCCTTCTTGTCCAAAGCATATCGCATCGGCATATTTTACCGCAAAAATACTGCACTCACAGCCATTAGCATTCTGAGGTAATCCATCCACATACTCAATATCGAGTACATCGCCATCATAGAAACTTTCTGACCCAACGATGAGACAAGTTTTTGGAATAAAATGACTGAGCTTCTGAACTACCTTGTCCATATTTTTTCCTTAATCGGTTTGAGCAGTCATAAATCTGGAGTCTAATTGAAATCCACCTTAATTGTATTCCAACGGGACCTTGTGACTGTGTGATCATGTGACTTTGTGACCTTGTGACCATGTGACTATGTGACCATGTGACCATGTGACCATGTGACCATGTGACCATGTGACCATGTGATCATGTGACCATGTGACCATGTGATCATGTGATCATGTGACCATGTGATCTTGTGACCATATGACCGTGTGACCATGTGATTATGTAACCCTATGAACTTAGAAAAATATGAGCAAGTAACCATGTAAACTTATAATATATGTGATCCATATAATCATGTGACCTGTGACCATGTGACCTTCTAACCTTGTAACGACACAACCGTGTCACTAAAATGACCATCTCACATGTGACCTTGTGCCCATACAATCGTGTTACCTGTACGACCTTGTGACTTTTATGAACGTGTCTGTGTGACCATGTCATTCGAATCGTCATGTCACCCATATAACCAAACATCGACTCATGTGATATTGTTACCTATATGACAATCCTAAATAACTTTGTGACCGAAACTCACTCATTTCACTCGATTTTAACCTTAAACCATCAAACCCAATATTTTATTTTGAAATCCCCAAATTTTCAAAAGTACCCAAAACCCTAATGCTCTCGAGTTCAAATCTTCACCCATACTCAAACCAAATAATAAGAAATCTCAAAATCAAACAAATGTGCAAACAGATCAAAATTTAACCTACCATGTGTTGTTCTAACTATGCAATCTCCATCAGGTTCTCATTCTCGCTCGAAGACTGTGACGAAGACGAACTCGAATCCATGTTATGCACTATCGTCGTTAATTCTTCTTCTAATCTTCTCATATTTTGGTGGGTAAATAAAATTTGTGAGAGAAAACGAAAATTATGGCACAAATCGACGAGAAAGAGGAGAGTTCGTCGATTCTGCAAAGAGAAAAAAAATGGCGATTAAAGAGAGAGGGGAGAGAGAGTTAGACGTGACCTAGAGGAGAGAGAAAGAGAGTAATTTCTCTCCTTTAAATTTTTTTATTTTTATTTTGACTTTTTAATCTATGACAAGGTTTTTTGGTCTTTTTAATATATTATGAGGGGTTTTGTGTCTTTTGTAGTATTTTTTGTTCTTTTTTTTTTTTGATTTTTTATTTAGAGGGTAGGATAAGAAGTAGATGTAGCATTTGGAGGGTATTTCAGCTGTATCCACCTTTAAAACAAACGAACAAATGAGTACGAAAAATTCAGAAAACTTGGCCCCACAGTTTGACCAGAGCCTTGACAGTTTTCCGACACACACCTCGAATGTCGAGTTCCTTTTTCTAAATGTGGTCACTCCGAAAATAAAAAGATAGTAAATTTGTGATGTTAAATCTGGGTCTTTCAATTTTATAATATAATACATACGAAAACATGTAACACAATATGGACCGACTACTATAACGAGAAAAGACATGATATATACACGACGACAAGACATCATTACATAAAATGTTTCAGAAGAACGAATCTTTTGAGTTTCGAGACCACAGCTGGAACGCGTTACTAACAAAAGGGTTCATCCACATAACCAAAGGAACCGATCTAAACCGGTAAAGAAACGATAACCGTACAAAACCAACGGTTCAGTCTTCGGTTCTGGAAGTTGATTTAGTAACCTAATACCTGTAATCGTCATCGAAAATCATGTAATTGCCTCCCCTCCTCCCCCTCTCCTCTCGATCCACCTGAAAACACATGAGCCGAAAGGAACATTATATACGGCCCATACATACGCAGTACATACGTATATACACAACGTGTTACATGCAAGTGTGTATACATATATGTATATACCCTTGCAATCATTCTCTCGAAGGCTTCGGTCCCGTGCTCTTCCATGTACCTCTCGGCGGCGGAGAGGATGTTGTCGGGCTTGCGGAAAAGGTCCTTCTTTCTAGGGACGTACCAAATGTTGGTCGCCCTGTGAGGGTTTATGTAGAACGGTCGAATGAAGTGCCTGTACACATATGCAGCTCCATTGAACCTTGGCAGGACCAACCAGCATGCCCCGAACAACTTTGCATATGTCCATATTGGAAACCTTATACGGAAAAAAAAATCTATATATTATTTTATAAATTATGGCATTTTTATGTAGAGAAACTCTTAAGAATTTATTCAAATGTGTCAATATACTCAACGAATTTTTAATTTGACAAAAAACTACATTCGAATATAAAATGTATCAAATAACTATACCGAATCTTAAACGATTATCTATGATGCCGTTTAAAACTATGCCGGAAATTGCAGACGATTTTAGGATTTGGTGTAAGTATGTGACACATTTAAATCCAAATGTAATTTTTTTGTTAAATTAAAAATCAGTGTAGAATAAATTTGTGTGGGTTTTTGTTATTTTTCTAATGCATGTAAGAAATAAAAGGGAGAGGGGGAGAGTACCATTCGAGGACCTTGGCGAAAGTGAGTTCGACGAGGGTGACGAGAGAGTAGAGGACCCAATAGGTAAGCCATTGCTCGTCTTCCGCTATGCATTTCGTCTCTATCGCCTTTATCGAAGCATATCTGTCCCATGTCATGTAACACCCCACTCGCTATTTTACACAATCTAAATATATATATATATATACAGGGAAATCGTGCTCTATAGATCTAGAGAGAGAGAGAGAGAGAGAGAGATGTCACTTACAGAGGGTAAACCAGAGTGACCAGAGGGCTGCAAGACCATGAACCGTACGTTTCCATTGATAGAGATACAATACAAAGCTCCATAAATCAGTAAAAACCCATGAAAATAAAAACACAACCGAGAGAGAGAGAGAGAGAGAGAGGACCGTACAGAGCAAGAACATCTAAGTTCTTGAGGACAACTTGTATAAAATTTCCAGAACCAGAACCAGAACCAGAACCAGAACCCATTCCCCTCTTCTCGTCTCTTTGTTTCTTCACAATGATGAAAGATTTAAGGCTCTGTAAGAAAAAAATTCAAAAGCTTCTCTCTCTCTCTCTCTCTCTCTCTCTCTCTCTCTCTCTCTCTGTATCTGTGAAGTGTGGAAACAAAAGTGGGTTAAAGTTTTTGTAAAGTGCTCATTGGACTTCTTTGGACCACCTTACCTTATGTCCATTTATTTTTGTTATTTTACTATTTCCGCTTTTCAAAAAATGGAAAATAGAGTTTATGTTACACGAGAAAAGAGGCACCGAATATTGTCCGATAATTACGGGGAGATTTTATTAGAAGTAACCATTAAGATATATTTTTAAAAAAAATGTAACATGCATCAAATATACATAAGTTAAATTACCTTAAGCAATGTCTTTTTTTTCTTCAATTGAACTACTTAGACTTAAAGTGCTGTTTATACATTAAAAAAAGGGTTTACGGGACTTTTGCATAAGAAAACCGTTGGAAAATAAATAATCATATTTCACTTTATGAATTTAGCATGAATTCATAAATCTATGATCTGACGTGGATTTCACAAATGGGCCTTTAAATGGCCTGAATTTTCAGAATCAAAAGCCACATCTATCACGTCGGCCCATTTAAATCACCACTCAAACAAACTAACTGAAATTATTTGAAGTCAATCTTTGATATTTTAGTTGGATATGGTTTTGAAAATTTATATTTATTCGAATTTTATGTTTTATTTGTTTCGATTCAGAATTTATAGATAAAAAGAAAAAAGAAATCATTTGAATACGGTTATTTATTTGGTTCGGTACGCGTAAAACCGAACCGTAATGGATTACCCTATCAAAGAACCAACAACCAGAAAGTAACAGAGTCGTCTCTCCTTTCATTCTCTCTCTCCGGCAGCCTCGACCCTCTCCCATATATATATATATATATATATCATATACATATAGATGCATGTATACACGCACTCTGTTATTTTCTTGAATCTAAATTAACTTTTTCATTTTCTATTTCTCAATTTCCCCTAAATCTCTTCGCTGAGGACAAGAATACATTCCAAACCCTAACCCGACCCGACTCACCCGCTTGGATTCCTGCCGGTCTGTTTCCTGTTTCTGATTCTCTACTCTCCGATTCGTCGATCGACCTTGGTTTTATTATGTTTTCGGATAGTCTTTCCTTTGCGTTTAATTCTTGATTTTGGAATCTGGTTTGAATGATCGGTGACCTTTTCTGGTTGTCTGTTGTTCTAATTTAGGGTTCCGATTCAGATTTTTTTTCTCGGACTGCTTGCTTACAATATGAGTAATCAGAAGAAGAAGAATTTCCAGATAGAGGCCTTCAAGCACCGGGTCGTGGTGGATCCGAAATATGCCGACAAGACTTGGAAAATTCTCGAGCATGCGATCCATGAGATTTACAATCACAACGCCAGTGGGCTCAGTTTCGAAGAGCTTTATAGGTCTTCTCCTCGTTCCTTTTTGTTTTTTCCCTTTCGGGTAGTTTTTCCCGCATGCTTGATTTGTTTTCCCATCAGATCATCTAGGAAACGGTAGAAGGTTTTTGGGATGGAATTTTTCTCCGTATATATTGTTGATTAAATGTGTTGAGCTGTTTATAATGGAAATAAATAGGACATGGATATATATAATATATATGCTGCTTTACTTTCATGTAGTTATTGTCTTTGATTAAGCTCATGGAGAAGGTAATGTAGCTAGATATAGCAAATTGTGTAGAGATCACTTGTCACTGCGCATCAGTTGAATCATTTTTTTGCTTCTCCATTGGGCATTGTTGTGTTCATGCTACAAATGTATTTGTAGCGATGCTACTGCTTTCTGTCTCGATGCGAGATTTATATCATGATTTGATATGCTGAATCTTTGAGATATGTGCCCGTAAGTCGAATTGAGTTGTTCTGATATCGCTTTGGGTTAACTTTCTTTGTATTGTCGCAGAAACGCCTACAACATGGTGCTGCATAAGTACGGCGAAAAGCTGTATTCTGGGCTTGTTAACACTATGACTGCCCATCTCAGAGAGATATCCAAGTCTATCGAGGCAACTCAGGGAGGATCATTCCTAGAAGAGCTCAATAGGAAATGGAATGACCACAACAAAGCGTTGCAGATGATTCGAGACATTCTGATGTACATGGATAGGACTTACATTCCGAGCACCAAAAAAACCGCTGTTCATGAGCTGGGGCTTAACCTGTGGAGGGACAACATAGCGCATTCCAGCAAAATCCAGACGAGGCTTCTTAACACCCTCCTTGATCTAATCCACAGGGAAAGGACTGGTGAAGTCATAGACAGAGTGTTGATGAGGAATGTTATTAAGATGTTCATGGACTTGAGCGATTCGGTGTATCAGGAGGACTTTGAAAAGCCATTTTTGGAGGCTTCTGCCGAGTTCTACAAGGTTGAGTCCCAGGAGTTTATCGAATCATGCGATTGTGGAGATTACCTGAAGAAAGTGGAGAAACGTCTAACTGAAGAAACGGATAGGGTGTCCCAATATTTGGATCCGAAGAGTGAACCAAAGATTACTAGTGTGGTTGAGAAAGAAATGATTGCCAACCACATGCAGAGACTAGTTCATATGGAGAATTCAGGGCTGGTTAACATGCTTCTCAACGACAAGTACGAGGACTTGGGTAGAATGTACAATTTGTTCCGCAGGGTTACCAACGGGCTTATCATGGTTAGAGATGTTATGACTTTGCATCTTAGGGAGATGGGAAAGCAACTAGTTACGGATCCCGAAAAGTCAAAGGATCCAGTGGAATTTGTACAGCGTCTGCTGGATGAACGGGATAAGTACGACAAAATCATCAGCACGGCATTCAACAACGACAAGACGTTCCAGAACGCGCTCAATTCTTCGTTCGAGTATTTCGTAAACTTGAACTCACGTTCACCCGAGTTCATTTCCCTGTTCGTCGATGACAAGCTAAGGAAAGGACTTAAGGGTGTGAGTGAGGAGGATGTGGAGGTTATTCTCGACAAAGTTATGATGCTTTTCCGATACTTGCAGGAGAAAGACGTCTTTGAAAAGTACTACAAACAGCATTTGGCTAAAAGGCTTTTGTCCGGGAAGACGGTTTCGGATGACGCAGAGAGGAGTTTGATAGTGAAACTGAAGACGGAATGTGGATATCAGTTCACTTCAAAACTCGAAGGAATGTTCACTGACATGAAAACTTCTCAGGACACGATGCAAGGGTTTCACAGTAGTCACCCCGAGCTTTCTGAAGGACCGACACTCGTTGTTCAGGTTCTGACAACGGGTTCATGGCCCACACAGCCGACCGTCCCTTGCAATCTACCGGCCGAAGTGTCTGTCCTCTGCGAGAAGTTCAGGTCATATTACCTCGGGACACACACCGGTAGAAGACTGTCTTGGCAGACCAACATGGGGACGGCCGATATCAGAGCCGTGTTCGGGAAGGGTCAGAAGCATGAACTGAACGTGTCGACGTTCCAGATGTGTGTTCTCGTGCTGTTCAACAGCTCGGACCGACTCAGCTACAAGGAGATCGAGCAGGCGACGGAAATCCCGGCCCCGGATCTGAAGCGGTGCTTGCAGTCGCTGGCATGTGTGAAGGGGAAAAACGTGCTGAGAAAAGAACCGATGAGCAAAGACATAGCGGAGAATGATGCGTTTGTGGTGAATGACAAGTTCACGAGCAAGTTCTACAAGGTGAAGATAGGGACAGTGGTGGCGCAGAAGGAGACGGAACCGGAGAAGCAGGAGACGAGGCAGAGAGTGGAGGAAGACAGGAAACCGCAGATAGAAGCGGCCATCGTCCGGATAATGAAGTCGAGGAGGGTGTTGGATCACAACAACATAATCGCGGAGGTGACCAAACAGTTGCAGTCACGGTTTCTGGCTAACCCTACCGAGATTAAGAAGAGGATCGAATCTCTTATCGAACGTGACTTCTTGGAGAGAGATAGTACGGACAGGAAACTTTATCGTTATCTTGCGTAAAGGTTCTACCTTTTTAACTCAACTCTCTCTCTCTCTCTCTCTCTCTAGTCTCTGGTCTTTTTTTTTTTGCCAAGTATACAATTTGTTTCGCCCTGTTCCAGCCTTGTGTTTCATTACACATCATCTTAATTGAACTTGTTGATTTCCCCCCCTTTTTTTTCATGGATACAGTCATAGGAATACTTGGTTAGACGAATTTGGTTATTGTAAAAAGAAACTGCTCATACAAAATAGGCCGGGCATGCTTTTAGGCCCATTTGTATTTTTTATTCGGTATACATAATGGGCCGGGCCTTGACATTTTTAAGGCCCATTTAGATTTTGATTCGGTAAACTGGTAGACGAATTTAATTGAACGGAAAGTTCCGTCGCTGTTCGGCCCCCCGCCCCACCCTACCAGTCTACCACGATGGTTCGCGTACAGTCCGACGTCGTTTTCACGCGAAAATGTGGTTTGAAATATCAACGACGAAAACGCGGAAACCGGGAATAATCCTACACGGTTGACAGCACGACAAGTCAGTCTCTGTTACCCGAATCCAACGGCTCAAAAGCTCCATTAGTTTCCGATCTGCTTAGGATCCGTCACGTAGTTGGTTGTAGTTATGAGATGTTGCAGAGGATGATACCTTCTTCGATATTTATATATTGTTTATATTTTAGTCAGTACAGTTGAGCCACGTCTTCTCTCCGGCGGCGACAGTTCGATTTTTTCCCCCATTTTGCTTTTAATTGATTTGTCAACCTGTGTGCGAACCCTAACGAACCCACTCTAATAAATCATTGAATCTTTCGGAAATTTTTCTGTTTAAATTAGTGTAAAGGATTTTCTTTGAGCCTTCCCCCCTCCCCCCCCCCCCCCCCCAT